CCACTTTGGTTTGTTCTTCTGCCTGGGAGTGTGGCGAAGATGATCCTTTCGAAGTGTCTGCTGGCTCCACCAGGCTTGGGGGACCACGAGACAGGTTCATGCCCGTGTTGGAGGCTGGCACGGGGGTGCCGGGGGCAGTGGGGGTGCCAGGCCCAGAGCAGCACCCTTCCCACCTGGTGCCTCTGCGTCGGGGGTCTCCTGGGCTGTTCACCCCGCACCCCAGGTTTCTGGGTTCCTCGGGTCCCACTTTCTCAGGGCATCTTCTCAGATGCCGCTCCCATGGTTTGCGCAGGCTGCACACCTCACTGCTACTTTACACTCCAGCCGGCCCCCTCCATCTCCCACAATGGCCTGTGGTCACTCTGGGCAGCTGTGGGCAGGCTGGCTTCCCTGGGTCTGTGACCACAACCTCAGGCCCGAGCCCTGGACTCAGCTCATCACAGGGGTGACCCCATGGGCGTACCGTAATGCTAACCCGTACCCTAACCCTAACCCATCGCCATACCCTAACCAGTACCCTAAACTGTACCCGTACCCTAACCCTAACCCTAACCCTAACCCTAACCCTAACCTTAACCCGTACCCTAATCCTAACCCGTACCCTAATCCGGGCCTGGGGGAGCAGGGACTCTTCATATGGGGGACATCGCGGGGCCCAGACAGAGGGGCTGTCCCCTGCCTGGTCCCCGTGTGCCACTTGCTTCTCCCTCCCCAGCTGCTTCCCAAGGCAGGTTGTTGCTCAGCCCGTACTGGCATGTTGAGTGTGTGTCTCAGGTGGTGGGGTGGGTCCAGCCACCCACGAGGGCCTCCCGAGCGGCTCAGTCCCTTACCAGAAGCCTTACCATTTACAGAGCTCTTAAATCAACCAAGAAAGTGACACTAAATTGGCTTCAGTGTTGAATAATTAATAAAACTTCCCCTGCGTGGCTGCTGGGCCCTGTGTCTCTCCCAACAGTGGGACCCTCAGTACTGTGTCGTCACCCAAGCGGCCGCCTTCCCATCTTTAAACAAGCGCTCGACCCTTTGGAGAGGTGGCTAAGATGTGCCGGGTGCTGGCTGGGGTGGGCCGCGGTGCCCACACTTGAGGTGGCAGGAGGGGCCAGTGTGACCTTTGGGGTGACCCAACTGGAAGGGGAGCTGCCTGGGGTCAGGGCCTGGGTCCTGGTCTCGGCTCTGCCTCTGCCTGGCTGTGAACCCCGGGCAAGACCCCTCTGTTCAGTTTTCCTTTTGGAAGAGCAGAGAGGTTGTACCCGGTGGCCTCTGGGGCCCCTTCTAACTGGGACATTCTGAAGAAGCAGCCTTGGAGAAGCAGAATCAGGGACCCGCCAGGGCCCCTCTGCTGTGCACGGGTTCCCTGCTGCTGGTGGGCCCTCAGCAGAGCCCTGCCTGCAACTGGGCAGCCTCAAATCAGTTTCTTGAGCGGGTCGTGGGGAAGTGTTTCCTTGGAGGTTTATGTAGGACGGAAGTCGGAAGCCGAAATCGAGGTGCCCCATGGAGGTTTCTGAGGGTGTACGTCTGCTTTTACTCCACTGGTGGGAAGGTGATCGCTCACAGCCTCTTGCTTCTGGGGTCTGTCAGGCTCAGTGGCGGCTGCCGCCCAGGCACGGGTCAGGGCTGCGCTCTTCACACAGCGCCCCCCCCAAAGCGGGCATTGCCCTTGGACCTTCGGCGCAAGATGGCCTGGCCCCGCCGGTACCCCACCAGGTGCCCACTGCTCCACACTGCCCTCCAGACCTTCTTCTGTGGCCTCGGGCGGGGATCCAGGCTGGCCACCCCCTCAGAGCTGCTGGATCTTCCTCGGTGACAGACACGGACACTGAGGGCAGAGGTCGGTGAATTCCACGTGTCACGTGGAGGCTGACCCAGGCTGTGCACGGAGGCGCCCCTGCGAGCCTCTGGGCACACACACATGCACACACACAGGCCCTTGCGGCCCCCCAAGACAGGAGAGGCCCTGGCCTGGTCATGGCCCACGTCTCCAGCCTTGCCCTGGGACAGGGGCTGCCTAATGGTTTTTTTGGGAGATCAGAGGTGTAGGAGTGTTTCCTGCAGGACCACAGAGAGGGGCTGCATTATACCCTTCAAGTAAATCGTGAAACTCTAAGTGGAAAGTGGGTTTCAGGCTGTGGCGGGGCACTGGTGGGCCATGGAAGTCGGGGACCCAGGTTCTGCCCCCTGAGACCCTGGGCTGCCCCTGCCTTTCTTGGGCGCGTGTGGGGAGCATCAGGGCCACGTCTGGGTGGGGCAGCCCAGGGCCGGGAGTGGGGGAGGGCTCGGCAGGGTCCCCATGCGGCCCTGGTTGTTGGGCGCAGACAGCGAGGGGCTGCCCCCCTTTGTAGGGCCTGGCCCCGGGAGCACGTGTGCAGTGTCCCCATTGTTTAGGCAAGGAAACCGAGGTGACACATGAGGTTTGTCCACTTACAGGCCTGGCCGGGAACCCAGGGCTCTGGGTCCAAGGTCCAGGCTGGCCTCCACATCTTAGGGCACAGTCTCCTCCCGGCAATGCTTGGGTGGACCCAGCTGGAGCTCATGGCCAGGCCCAGCCTCAGACTGGCCCCTGTCCGGACACAGCGCTTCAGACCTGGAACGCAGGAACCCCAGCCCAGAGAGGGGGTAGAGGGACGACTGCTCTAGGCTCCATCCGCCTCCGCTGTTTTGACCTGTGAGGCCACACCCACTGCCCCTGCCCTGGGTGTCCAGGCCTGGGCTCTGTCCCCAGGGCTGGGGAAGGCCCTCTGCTCCCCGAGTCAGGCAGGTTTATGCAGCTGGGCCTGATCCCGAAGCAGGGGTGCTGCACACAGGAGCAGGGTGGTGGGAGGGAGGCAGCTCAGGCCGTAGAAGGGCAGTGCACCCGGCCGGGGACAGAAGTGGGGCTCAAGGGCACAAGGTGCGCACCCCAGCGAGAGGGGCTCAGACAGGGGCCCCGCGCCCACTTCCCATCACCTGACTGTGTATTCCAGTCCCCTGCCTCAAACAAGAAGGAAATTAAACTCCTGGGGGCCGGCAGGCCCTTCCTCCCACCCACTGCTAGCCAGGCCAAAGGCTCTCAAAGGCGGAATTTTGCTTAAATGCCCAGAAAGGAGATTTAGGAGATCAGAATCTTAAGCAAATGAACACGTGCTTAATCACCGCCTGTTACTCGCAGGCCCAGGTCACGGAGCGCGGGGGGCGGGGCTGGCGACACCGATCTCGATCATTCATTAGAGCCTGAACCTGAGTTTCATCCGACTTCTTCACAGGGTGGGGCTCAGGGGCCTTTGGTCCACTCCAGGGAGACGAGGCTGGGCCGGCCAGAGCCCCCTCCCCCGGGGACCCTGTGGTCCGCACGCCCTCCCGCACATTCTCACTCTCTCGGATCTGGCTTTGGTTTTGCCTCTCATCTCCTCTCCCTTGGTCCCCTCTCTCCCTGCCTCGGTTTCTCCTCTTCTGAGAGTTTGGGGCTGCTGGGCCTTTCCCAGAGGCGACCGGACTTACCAAACCCAGGTGTGGGTTGCTGGACCGCCCCTCCCCGCTTCGCTCCCCGGCCTCTGGTCGGCTCTTGCACATTTGCACTCGGTGCCGCTGCTTGGACTGACTGGACCCCTGTCCTTGGCTTCAGCTATAGGACCCCCTCCTGCTGCCACCAGCGGGAACTTCGGTCAGACTTGGTGCCAGAGGGAGGGTGCTGCGCCTCCCTTCCGTGGTCTCTGCCAGCCCTGCGGACCCTGGCTGTGCTGAGCAAACCCATGACCAGCGTGGACACGGGAGGGTCATGGTGCCGGGTCACAAGGGCAGGTCCCCAGAGCCCAGGCACTGGCCAGTCTGGCCCAAGGGCCAGGTCTCTGGGAGGGGCAGCCAAGGGGGGACGGCTGCCCCTCTAAGGGAGCTGGGCAGTGGGGCCTGGGCCTGCCCTGGTTGGGATCCAGGCGGTGGTGGTGACGGCTGACGTGCTGCCCTCCCATCGGCACCTGGGTGCCTTGCCTGGCAAGAGGCAGTCACCCCTTGGAAGGCGGCAGCTCAGCGAGCCCTGAGGAGCCCCAGGCCCTCCCGCTCAGGCCTGACGCCCGCCTGCCCGTCCCCAGGCCAGGCTCCCCATTCCCGTAACCCTCCCCAGGCCGCCCCCTGGGCTGTGGGTCAGCCCTGACGGACGGGGCGTCGGGCAGAAGCGGCAGCTTTCCAAACAGCCCCCGAGGGACAGAAATCTCTTCTGTTGATGTGGGAAATGTAATTTCCCTCAGATGCGGGCTGCCGCAGGTCAAACCAGAGCACGGCGGGGGAGGCAGGCTTTGCTGGGGGTCAGGCCAGGTGGGGGCTGCTTGGCGCTTGCCCTCCTGAGACTCTGCCCCTGGCTTCGCTCCCAGCAGGACCCCTCCAGGCGGCGTGCAGAGGCGGGCGTGGGGGGCTATTCTCCGGTACCCCCAGCAGCCCCGCCACCTCCCGGCCCCCACAGGCCTCTGCAGGACCCTCACTGGGGGGTGCGTGGAAGGCAGGGAGGCAGCACAGGAGGGGATTGGATGCCGAGGGGGCTGGGCTGTCACCAGGGGCCCTGGGCCCCCCCGTCGTCATCCTGCACACCCCCCACCAGTACAGCCAGTGAAATGTCACCCTAACCACCTCTGAAGCGCCGAGCCTTCGTGGGGGCCCCTTGTGGGGTGGGGTGACTTGTCCTGGGAGGAGGCCCTGTGCAGTGACGTGGGGGGATGCCAGCTGGGGGACATTTGGCTCCTGGGGGGATGCAAGCGTCTACCCGCTCTGGTAGGGGGGCTGACCTGGAGGGTGGGAGGGAGGCCAGGAACAGCCAGGGGTGGTGGGCAGAGCCCCAGCTGGAGGAGCGCACAGCACCACCCCCATCCCATGCTCCTGCCTCTGCCCGCGCCCCCTGCCCCCGACTCCCACCCCTACACGTGCCCCGTGTGCACCATTCCTCCCTCTGTGGTTCCCAGCCTGGCAGTGGCAGTGAAGGGTTAAGGCAGGCGGGGAGCCCGCGGGAGGGGCGGTCCCGGCAGCAGCGGCAGCCGGGCGCGGGCAGCGCGTTGATCGGGCATGGGCACGCGAGGGGTGCCCGGCTTGGACACGGGGACACACGGGGCCAGCACGCTGCCTGGGGACCCCTCAGGCTGTGCCGGTGGCAGCCGGGGTGGAGCCTGCAGGCCATGGCAGTGCCCGGGGACCCTGGAGGGCTCAGCCGGGACCAAGGTAAGGGGGACAGGAGGGGCTCAAGGAAGAAGGCTGTGATCGGCCCTGTGGGGAGCCCAGGACCAGGTGCTGAGCTGCCCATCGGTGACCCACCGACCCCACATGGGCAGTGCCTGACGCCCCCGACCAGGGGCCTCTCCGACGACCCCATTCGCACCAACACCTGCACACGTCTCCCCACCCTCGGCCTCCGGCCCCCACATCATCCCTACCTGTGCCGGCATCCACTCTGAAGGGTGGTGACAATCCCGGTGGGCAGCAGGAGGCGGTGCCCTGTCAGAGCCGACACAGTCCCCTGACCGCCACCCCGCCCCCAACGGACTTCAGCCTTGTTGGGGGTCAGATCTGGGTGTCCTGACCTGTGGGACCCAGGGGCCAAGCCTGTTCACACCCTCCCCGTCCAGGGCCGTGCAGGCAGCCCCGAGCCTCTGTCAGCACCATGGACAGGGCAGCGGCAGCCTCCACCGGAGGGACCTGCCCTTGTTTGCTGAGCCCTGGCACCTGTGCGGGCAAATTCTTGCTCAGATCTGTCGTGCTGTCTCGATCTGGGGGCCAGGGCGCTGCTCCGGGCAGACAGCACAGATCCGCTGGGCTGGCAGGAGCCCTCTGAGGCTGCCCGGAGCTGCCCGGCGCCGAGGAGCTTGGATGGAGAGGGGCCGGGTGCTTGGCGTCGGGGCCCGTCCTGCAGGGACAGGATGGGGCAGAGCTTCTCCAAAGAGGGTCTCTGTCTGTCCCCAATGCAACACTTGCTCCGGACCAGGGGTGGGAGTGGCAGGGAGGGAAGGGGGACCAGCGCCACGGCCGCAGCAGGAATGACTTGGGCCAGACAGCAAAAGAACTTCCTGATTAAGGGCTGGGATTCCAAGGACAGTAGGAGCTGCCTTTTGGCGACTCGTCTGGATCCTGGTTGTTCTGGACACGATTTGTTCTGCCCTCTGATTGGCATGGACACGGGGGAGGGCCTGGGGAGCCTTGGAAAGCATGTGTAGCAGGCAGGGGCATTACTGCTAGGCGGACTGAGGATGGGTCCCCGCCGGCGCCTTTGATGAGCTGTGTGACCTCAAGCAAGGCACTGACCCTCTCTGAGCCTCTCATGGAGGAGAGGGACAGCATGGGGCTGCCTTCATAGGGCGGCCTTAAGAAGCGTGCGCCTGGCCCGTGTAGCTGCTCCAGGAATGCCTGTCCCCTCCTGCCTCCCAAGATGAGTTGCCCTTTATGAAGGAGGACAGTGTGGTGTGTGTAGACGGGGCTGGTGGTGCAGATGTTCCCAGCTTGGCCGGGTGCTCAGGCCACCCCCGGTGCACCCACTCCCTGACTGCAGCCCCCAGCGCAGGGCAGGGTTCCCATAGGTGGGTGGTCCCTGGGGAGGGCCTGGCCCAGCACATTCCTGCCAATCTGGCCTGCAGAGAACTCTGTGGAATCAACAGTCCTGGGCCAGCCCGGCCTCGTTCAGAACCGCTGGGTGCAGGATGCCTGCTTGAAGACGGTGCAGGAATGGCTGCTACCATGTGGCCCCAGGGCCCCAAGGTCCAGGTAGCCCCGACATAGCCAGTGTCTTCAGCCAACGAGGGAGCAGCCTGGGAGCGGGGTGGCAGCAGGCACCGCCGTGAGCCCACCTCCGTGCCCTGTCCTCTGGGCTGAGGGCTCGGCCAGCCTCGAGGGTGGGGATGTGCGGCGTGGCCCTTATCTTCTGGGTCGAGCGTGCTGGGCCCCCCTCCCAGGGAGGGAGCAGTCTCAAACGTGCAGCCGAGGATGGAGCAGATGGCTGGAGTCTTGGGTCCGGCCTCCAGCTGCATAGCTGCTGAGCCGACGGCCGAGGTTTCGGCTCTCCTGTCACCTGTCTCCTGAACAGCCAGTGGTCCGGCCCCCACCGGGAAGCATCCCTCTCCAGGGGCAGGGTGCGGGTGAGGGGCACGTGGGGCCCCGTCCTGTGCCGGGCCGGGCCGGCTCCACGTTCTCTGAGAGCTGTCGGTGGGAGGGGGGTTGAGGTGGGGCATGAGTAATCGGAAATGTCTGTTTCTTCCTGGGACTTTGCTTCCAGCTCGTGGGCTCCCGCGGGCTGGACGGACGTCCCGTGTGGGAAAGGCCGGTGGGCGTGGGCCTCCAGGTGGGGCAGCGGATGCCCGCCCCAGGACAGGACGTTTCCGTGGCTCCTGCGAGCTGTGGGGAGAGGAAGTCACCCACCCGGGCAGCCCTCGACCAGGGTTTCCACACCCGCCGGGGCAGCGTGTGCGGAAGGTCCCAGGCTGGGGCCTCGTGTGCCAGCTGGTCAGCTGAGGGGACCGAGCTGCTAGGAGTCTGCCTGCTCGAGCAGCGCCAGAGCCCGTGGACCCTCAAGCTCAGTGTCCCAAGGGTGGGGAATGCAGGCATGGTGGCCCAGGAAGGCTCCGTCCGCAGGCGGGTCCTCGGGAGCCATGATGAAGCCACTGCTCAGGGACAGAGAGCCACCCTGTCCTGGGGGTCCCCTCAGCCTGCCCAGGTCTGGGGACCCACAGACAATTCTCCAGGTGACTCAGGGCGGTCCTGATTTCACACTGAACGGGACCTGGCCTGGCCCATGCCCCGGGCCTTGCCTCAGCCGAGCTGCTGCTTCCTTTGGAAGCTCTCCCTGGCGGTCAGGCCCCCGCGGTGGAGCTGACTGTGGGCCGGGTGCAGGCGGCTCTTCCTGGGCATCCTTCCCGGTCAGCAGTGTGCGTCTGGGGGCTTCACGGAGGGGAGTCAGGGGCAGGAGCAGGGGCCGGCAGCTGACCCAGCCCCCAAGTGGGGTGGGAGGGGCGTCCTGCACGAGATGTGGGACACTAGTCAGACTTGGAGGACCTGCCCGGTTCTGGAACATCCCCTCTGTGCTGAGGCCCCAGGGCTCTCTCCGCAGCTGCCTTGGAGGTGGCTGGCCACCCTGGCTGGGAGGCGTGGCCGGGCTGGGGGAAGGGCCCAGCCTTCTTCTGTTTCTTGTCTCCCCCTGTGGCTCTGCCTGGCGGCCGTCCAGCCCCACCGGCTGCTGCCCCCGGACTCCCCGCACGGGCCTGGGCGGGTGAGGGCTGCGGCGGGGCCGGCTGGCCAGTACCACGAGGACGCCTCCCCTGGAGCTGCCTCCCAGCCCTGCAGGAGTTTCCTCTCCTCCCCACAGGCGGACCAGGTTCCATCTGGTGACTTTTCAGGGAAGTGCCCCCCCCGCCCCCGGTGCCGCTGTGAGCCTCTCTCTCCCTCTGCAACCACTCCCTGGGGCTCCCTGGGCCCCTCCCGATGTGGGCCGGCACCAGCCTCGGGCCCCCCACCGCCTGCCCGCCCTCGCAGCCTCACCCAAGTGATGCCAGGGCAGGAGCCCCTAGAACACAGGCACCAGGGCAGCTCTGAGGGCAGGAGGCCGTGGATGGCTGCTAGCGGAGTCCTCTCCCGAAGGTCTGTCGGATGTGATTAATGCCGCCGCTGTAGCTCAGCGGGGGACCGCCAGGGCTGGGCCTGTCCCTGGCCAGTACAAGGAGGCCCCGGCTCTGCTGGGTGGGCAGAGGAAGGCCAAACGTTGGGACCCCGCTGTGCTGGAGACCCCCCGGCCCCCTGTGGTGCTCAGACGGCTCCATGTCAGCACGGGGGCCCACTGCGGGGGAAGGGGCTTGTCCAGGGGGCAGGTGCGGGCACTGGACACCCTCTGCCTCAGAGAGTGTCCTGTCCACCAGCGCCCACTGCCACAGGAGGCCGGAACCGCTGAGGACAGCTGTGGCCACCACGAACGCTTCTGCTCCATCGCTCTCTGTTGGGCAGACAGAAAGTTCCCGCCGGCCTTCCCAGGGCTGATCCTGGAAGGAGCTCAGGCCGCCGGCCGGAGGGGCAGGGGGCAGGCTGCTGCCATCCCCGCCCAGAACAGGAGCAGCAGGGGCCTCTGTGGGCAGGTGGAAGGTGCAGGCCCAGCCCAGCTGGTCGGTCGGCCTGCTGGATGGAGCGTGGCTGGCCACCAGTCTGTCCCCACCCTCTAGGACACGCTCTGTGCCCGACTCCCTGAGGTCTAGCGCACAGGCCCAGAGAGGGCAGGTGGGCAGAAGCAGCCCAAGGGGGCAGAGCAGAGCCTGGCCCGCTTGTGCCCCGTCCCCCTCTGGCCCTCCTCACAGCCCAGCTGGACGATACAGGGGGGCCAGGCCCCCGCCCACCGAACGCTCATCTCCCCCGCTGCCTGCCCCGTGGGGTGGGGTGGGGCCTACAGGAGGAAAAGGGCACATCCTGGTGACAGGGTGTCTCCCTCCCCGGCTGCTTCCCTGCCCCCCGGGCCCTCAGCTCTCCCCCAGGCTTGTCTGGGGCCAGGCCCAGGCCTTGGTGACCCGGCCAAAGGACCCTCTGGCTCCACTGCCATGGTGCGGACCCCTCGGGCCAGCCAGGGCTCCTGTGTCCCCCGGCCCGGAGCACAGCCACGTTGAGGTCTTGCCTGGGAGGGTGGACTTGAAGGAGGCAGCTCACACTGCCTGATAAAATAAAAATAGTTGGGGAGGAGACACCCAGACGTGCGGGGGCATGCCGCTTCTCAGACTAAACGTTTAAATAATCTCCAGCATACGTGAGTGGGCCTGTTTCTCCCTCCTGGAGGCCCCGGCCTCCTTCCCCTTCTCCACCTGAGCACTGTCTGAGTGCCTACTGCATGCTGAGCTGGGCCCCCCGTGCAGTGTGGGGGGAGGCTGGTGGGGGGCTGAGGACCCTGTGTGTCCTGCTGTTACTGACCATTCTGAGTAAAGTGGACACGGGGAGGGTCCATTGGAAGGTCCTTCAAGAAGGCAAAGAAGCTTCGGAGGAGGAAAGGGCTGGAAGCAGACAAGCAGGGAGGGCAGATACTGGTTTGCCCCACGAAGGGCAAGCGAACATGGTGTGTATCCCTTCTGGGGCGGGCCTGCGGCTCCGCAGGAGTCCATGCGTGCACACGTGCGTGTGTGCGTGTGCGCGCGTGTGTGTGCATGTGTGTGCGCTCCTGCTGGGAAGCCTGTGGATGTAATTTGTGGGTTTTATTGGAAGATTAAATT